ATACTGGAAGAGAGGTGAGAATGTAATGTTGAAAAACTACAGCGACCCAATTTGCCTGCAAGACACCAGTGCCTTCAAATTGGTAGTTATTTTCTCTTGTGCTAATTAGTAGAGCCTACAGTGGAAGTGCATATTCTGTCAACTCAGTAAGTCAAGGAGGTAGACTATGCCTTTTAGGTATTCTTTTAGGATAAACCCTTCCTATTAGGCACAATGTATTATCTAGTGTCCGATCCTTCACTTGAGATACTAGAAAATTTCCTGTTTCCCAGCTGGGATCATAAGTGCATCCAGAAAGATGAAGAACGAAGGCATATTTCTTTTGAGGATATCCTAGCAAAGAGTGCTTACATGAACAGAGCACCCTGGACAGATGGATCATGATTTGTTTGTACTACCTATATGTCCTATATATCTCTATGTTTCTTATTTATCTTTATATATATTTATTAATTCAAAGACCATTTAAAATGATTCCCTCTATTTAAACATCCTCTAGATTCTATCTGCTTGTTTGTGCCTCCAGGAAAATCAATCAGTACGCTACACGTAGCGTACTGAGCACAACTGTAATAAGGGAGAAAGAAATAAAATAGACAGTGAAATATGATGTGCTCTCTCCAGAAGGGAAAGTAGAAGCCTGAAGCCAAAGTCCAAAGGTTACGTGCCGTGGTAATGGTCTTATCTAATCAGATTATACCTACTACTTGCAGGTAAACAGATTGAGACATGCTGCAGTCATGAAAGGACTGCAGGAAAGCCTGGTGAGACTCCCGGTCACCCCGTGCGCTGTGCGTTGCAGCACGAGAGCTCTTCAAGATCTAGCTGTTGTCTTGAGCTGTCTTTCTTTAGACATCTGCAAAGGTTCAGGCTGCTTCTGCAGAGGGTCTGAGGTGAAAATTTGGACCGTGCATGAGCCTCCTGCGCTTCTGGGGGAGGGGTTTTGTCAGACATCTAGATCACAAAGTGACTCTTCGTTGTAAGCACAAAGGCCAACTTCACTACCAGGTGGAGGTTTAAATCCGCTTATTGCTGAGATTGATCCAATCTTGAGATAAAAGAAAGTGGGAATGAATGTTTCTTTTTGAAACATACAGGGCTACATTTTGGTCAGACTTCCAGGGGTGTTTTTTTGTTCGCTTGCTGGCAGAGATGTTTCTGCTATTTTGCCTCCTTCTGCAGCCTCTCTGTACGCCTTGTATGCATTTCCTATACATGTCGGGCTGAACCATGGAACGGTATGTATTGTGCACTGCACTGAGGCTGTTTCTTAGGCCTCAGCAGAGCTGAGCGACACATAATCTGAGCCCGGAGTCACAGCTTTAGCTGCACTGTCAACAGCTGAACAGAATCTTTTTTTGTTTAACTGCTGTACAGGAACCTTAAATTTTTAGATTTTTCGCATGTTCTTGTTAGAAAAACTATCAACCCCCCCTCTCCTCCTTTGCTCTTCCCAGCCCCATTACAAAGGGTGATTACTTGCCTGTCATATTGGGACCACGAGGGTAACAATCTACATATCTACACTGTGCAGATTTCTCAGTTATACTGTAGAAGTGCCAGTGTCTGTTGATCTTCTTTGTAATTGTGACCACCTCTTATGCATAGCTACTTGTCTGTCCTGTCAACAGGCAGCCAGAAATGAGCTCCAGACAATGTGCTGTTTTTTTTCCGACATGAGCATGTGTTCGAAGACCTGTTAGTTTCACCACTTCCCTCGTCCCCCTGTTTTGCAGGCACAAGTACACCACACTGTCTCCTGTCACTGCAAGTTCTTCTAGCAAGGAAGAGCTGGTTGCTGGAGCTAGCAGCCCATTTCACAGTTTTCCACTGTGCTGCTCTACTTCCACGGCTTTCGTCTCCTTGCTCTCCCTGCCTCCCGTCTCCCTGCCTCTCAGTGAACCTGTTGGCAGCCCTGATCTTGAACTCTCCACACCCTTCTAGATCTGTCTTATCTGTAAATTCAAATTCTGCTGCATACGCAGGTTTCCATGCATCTTGTAGGCACACCTGAGAATAGCCTAGTTTTGCAGTAACTTGACTGCAGTCACCGTTTTCCAGCTACCTGAACATACAGAGCTCTGCGCCTGATTTGTTTGGTGGCTTTTGTCAGTATTTCAGGAACTGCCTGATGTTTGTGTCCCCTTCTGCCACTCATTGTCTCCCTACCAAATATAGACCATGTTAATGAGCACCCTGTATATTTGCCTCAGTTTGGTTCTCTGGGTTCATTTCTCTTTCACTGATACTTTTCCAGCTGCATTCACTTGATTAGTGCTGACTTTTGTCTGTGTCTTTTTAATGTGTCTGACCAGGGATAATGGAAAAAAACTTCTACGCAGTTCTCTGAAACAGCCTTTGCCCTATATCTCCTGCTTCATCCCCAGATGATGACTAATCTCCATACCTAATGCTTCCCTTCCACTAGTATCCAAGTATCTGCAAGCTGACTTTCTCCACTGTGCCTATATTATCCCCTTGATACTGCCATTTTCAGGTGTAGAGTGTTCTCTTCCCAACTCCTCCTAAACTGAGAAACCACAATGGCATAGTGCAGGACACAGACAAAGCCTGCCTGACCAACCGGAGCTGCCCTGTTTGTTTCCTGTCTGTGGGTCTTGAGCCCTTAGACCTCCTCTCTTGGAGTAGCCATTATCTTGGGACCACTTCCAGCACTGATGTTGATGTTATTCATGGGAAAACATTTGGTTTGTATGGAAAAAAAGCCAGGCTGATACCACAGTTGTGTACGTGCTAGTTCACTGCCCACATGCCTCTCTGTATTTTTGCTGATCAGGAGGCGTGTGCCAGTGAGCAGAACTGACTTGTCATCCTGTGCCTGCAGCTAGCAGGCCATCTCCCAGTGGCTGGGAGTCTGCTTGGTGCTGTGCCTGTGCAGCGCTACCTGCTCCTGTGCAGTTATCCAGAGCCCATCACTGGGGAGGGAGTCTCGGGGCACCTCCCAAACATTGCTCACCACCACCGCCCTCAAGGAGATCGTTGGCAGAGATAGGGGAATGCCTGCCCTGCTGCAACTGGTGCTGTGGCTGCCGTGTTATTGCTGGCGACTGTGGAGGTAGACTGCACTGCCAAGTCTTTTCATTGTGGTGTTCTGATGACAAAGCTTAGATTAAAACCTATTAAAAATACAATATAGTCAAAGTAAAACCAATGTAAATATTTTATGATTAAGTAATCAAATGCTCTGTGCTGTGGAACAGTGCAATGCATGCACAACATGGCTGACTGTAGTACTTCTTTGTCTGAGTTGGTCACATGTAGGTTCAGTTTAACACTAATGGTGAGGCCAAGCATGAAGAAGATGTGGGTATCCTCACCTTCCGATAGATGTAGAGCTGCTTCGAAAAGGAGATGTTCTCACAGTGTACCAAAGGAAATGGGTTATGAGACTGAATGCAGTTCTTGTACATTTTGCCAAGTGTAATGTTAGCTATGAAGATCAATTTCACAGGTGGAAGAATAAGAAAAGACAGCTACCTTGGAAAAAGTAAATTCTCTGATATGCTGCAGAGAATGTATGATCTTGGCAGAAAGGAATTTTAAAAGTCTGGGAAAAAACCTTATTCTTTAGGCTCTGCCAATAATAATAATAATTAAAAAAAATAGAAGGATCTTTAAATATGCCTAATAAACTTTCATATTTGGGGCAGGAAAAGAAATCAGTTGGCAGTGTGTTAGCCTGCTGGGAAGGTTGACTGCACATACAGCTTAGCGCTGTTTGAACAGCAAGTAAGTCTCTGCATACTCTGCATTTGCTGGAAGTCTTGAAAGCAGAGCATTATGGTGCACTGCAAGGTAAGCAGTAGTAGTGAATTAGTCTCCTTTTTGAACCATGTAAATGAAAAAGGACATAACACAGCTCTGGCATAATTTGCTCTGATGGGCCCAGCCACCATTTTAACTGGCACCCTTATCTCACCAGGGAGAGGGAAGGGGAAGAGCTGTAATTCCTGAGGCTCAAAAACTGCACCCTCTGTGTGGATATCTCGAAAAGCTGACAAAGACTTTTGGAAGCAGACTTCTGAAAAAAATATGTTTGGCTATCTGCTCGTTTAACAGCAGGGTTGGCTTTTTACGCTCTAATCTCTACAACAGGGTGAGGGGCATGGAAAGCAGTATTTCTGAAATTATCAACCTAAGCCAATGATGACTTGGTACATTTGTGTGTGTTGCATGTGTCTGCATCTCCCACCCCCTCCCCAAGCATGTATGTGTAGAAGGCAGTCAGCTTGAACAACTACTGCTGCTGGATGAATTGAGACCAGTCGCTTGTGCTCAAGTGTCTTTGCTCAGTCGGTAGCTTCAGATAATGTTCTGGATATTGCTTTCTCACTCTGTTTTCCAACTGAAACCAAGGTGACGATTCTTCATCAATCAGGGAGGCTACTGGGTGCCTTGCTGAGATTTTGGGTTTTTTTTCTGCTGAGCTCCCATGAGGAATGCAACAATTCTAATATAAGGGAGGCTTCCAGCAGCCCTTTACCCTTCAGCTCAAAGAGAGTCCTTAAGAACATACGTCCCAGTAATAGGAAGGACAAATAAGAAACAATTTAGGAGCAAAAAAAAGGCAATTCTATTTACGCATATGAAGGTAGATATTTGTTTTAGACTTTCAGATTTCCTCCCTTCTTCTGATGGAATTTTGGTTTTTGCTGGTCTTGAAACTGTCTTTGTCATTCTCTCTTACTATTTTCTTCTTTGCTCAGATTTTCATTTTCTTTGCATAGTAATATTCCATTTTTCTCCCCCTCTCTCCCCCCTTCCCCCCCTCCGACTCCCCTTGCACTCTGGTTTTCTACAATTTTCCTTTTCAATCTTCTCCTCACACATTCTCTACCCACTCCCTCCTGCCTCTCCCATCTTCACCACACCTCGAGTCTCCAGCACAGCTCCAGCTCTCACAAAACAACAGCAATCATATAACAATTTACAACCATTAGCCAATTGAGTGTAACACCTCTCTACAAGGTAGGTAATCATTTACGAACGCTGCTAAGCTACTGCTGTTTGGTGTGACAGATTGTTCAGCTGCTTCTGCTCTCTCAAAGGGCCCCAGACAACAATAGTAAGGCTGTGAAAGCACAGGGTTGGGATGAACAGCTAGAGCAGTGTGTGAGGAACTACAGACATCTGCTGAGCTCTGAACTGTCTTTTTACTCCTGGTTTAGTGAGCATTAAATGTGTTGCGTGCCTCTATTGTCAAACTGGCTGCATCTTGAGGGGAAAAAAAGAACAGAAGAAAAAGCAGACGAGATGTCTGTGGCCCACTTAGAGCTCATCATGAAACACTTCATAAAACAGGACAGCAACTGGTCTGTCTTCTTCGTCCTGTGACCACAATGCTGTAATCATGTAAGCTAGACTGTGCTTAAGTAGGGAGAGGCCACTGTATCTGCTGAAGGCAGTCAGTGAGTACAGAACGGCACGATGCTACGTGGGGACTGCCAACCTGAAATGCTGTGTGGCATTTTTCCTAAAGGTAGGTTTATGGTCTTTAACCTAAATTAATTAAGACATGGAGCGTTAATGAAGGAGCAGGTTGCTTCTGAAACAACTAACCCACTTCAAAGTGCTGAAACCATATTCTTAATGGGGAACAAAGAAGTGAAAACAGGGTCAAAGCAGACCATGTCTGCGTGTTGTTCTCAACCCATTCATCTCCCACACGGCGTGAACTGTGGTGGCATTTTAAAAATTGCAACGTAACATCTGCCATCCAAAAGGGGAATTGGGGTGTGTGGGAGGAACATGGTTTATTCAAAAGCCACTGCTCTCCTTTTGAAGGAGAAGATGAGCCAGATGTACTTTTTTCTCCCCCCCCCCAAGTCCTGGTCATGTTCCCACTGACTCCAGATGACGTAGGATATCCCCCTTTACTCTCTTTTTTCTTTCTTTCACCACAACCCCACTTAACTGCTCTGTTCCTGTCAGTTCTAGTTGTCATGTGATGAACTGATACTGTTTATTATGTAAGATTCTGAATAGATCATTCCTGCTTCTGGCACACAGGGCGTTGGGTGGCTTTTCTCATTTAAACAGTACGACCTAAATTATGTTTCAAAAACCTCACTACTGTTTCTTTAGGAAGACATACAAGCCAGAGGTCTGCAAAGCACACAGACTCATAGTGGAGCAGAGCTTCCAGATGTGCCGTCCCTACAGGTACTGGTGAATTGGGCCAGATGTCCATCTGAACCTTTAGGTAAGCACGCAGACATTTCCACAAGTCTGGTCTTGTGCTGCTTCGCTAAGTGCTTTTGAAAGTCGCACCCAATGTTAAAAAGAGATTGATGTGGGAGATTAAGATAAATGCACAAAACACTTTCATTTTCTTTATTTTCAATCGATACTGTATGAATACAAAGTTTCTAGAAAGCTACAAAAATTCTACCACTTTATCAAGAAGGCATCAAAATGTGTCACTTTGCAAAGACATGAAAACACCTGCAGTAACCGACACAAAAATAGCATTTTTAGAGTGATGAAATAATTGCACTTAACTGTCATGGATATTAAAGTTATCACACATATGTACCGCGAAAGCTAGAATACATTTTTTTTTTTTTTACAAAGCACTTTATAAAAAAATTCTCTGCACACAAAACCTATAATTTTCATATTACTATCATACTAAAGATAAATTCACTTTAAAGCCAACACTTAAAACATTTTAAACAAAAAAAGGTACCAGTACCTACACACAGACAATAACAAATACAAGAATACTGTACTGCCAAGAGGTTTGACTGAAACTCCTTTTGAAAGCTTCTGCAAATATGTTAAGAAAACATTGGAGAATGTTCGGTGTTGTTTTTTTTTTTCAAAGATCCTTCCCTCCCTGTCTAACCTAGAGGTACTTTATCATCAAAAGGCAAGTTCTACATCAAAAGTTACCAGCAGCAGTACAATATTAAAGTAACCACTGACCATATATGAATATGCTTAAGTCACAAACCCATTTTATACACATTACACAAATAAACATAAAGTGAGAATTCCATTAAGTCATTTACAAATGTGAACAAATGCACATGGCAAAGAAAAAAAAAAAAAGAAAAAGAAAAAAAAAAGAAAATTCAAACAAAACAAAACCCCAACCTGTTTTACATAAAATGTACTGAAGAATTAAAGGCTATTCAGGTTTTCAATGTTATAAAATTCTCTTGTCTTTCTTTTTCAGGCACATATTGTATTTTTTGTCTGCAGTCATGAGCCTGAATCAAAGAGGCCCATAAAACAAAACAAAACAAAAACACATATTCTGAAAGGAGGTAACAGGGATCTGTCTCCTTTTTGTCAACTGAGTGCATTTAAGATTTAATTTACACGCTAAACTAATTACATGATCTCAGCAAGAATGACCTGAAAAGTTAAAAGATGAAAAATCTCCAAAGCGCGTTTTCTATTTTGAATTATCCAGCCTTGATCTTTTTTAGGGGGCTAAGCATCTGGTCATGAAAGGTAGGAGGGGGGAAAAGAGATCATCCTGAGAAAAATACAAAACTAGACTCTGCTATCACATCTGCTGTTTGACCGGGTATGTGAATCAGTACGGGTCAAGTAAAGAACAGAGAAAACATTTCTCAGTATGAATGATCCAGGAAAACTGTAAGGGGAACTGCTTCCAAAGCGAGTATGCCCTAGGAGCTGCAGTGGAAAAATAAATAGATATTAGTATGTCAAATGTTGTATCTGCCTTGAACTGGCCAGTTACTTACATTCAACAGTAATGTACACCCTTCATTACTTAAAATAGCCTACAGCATGGAGGTTTTAACGGAAGAAGCTACTGCCAACCTGACTGAGCTGTAGTTGCAGTAGAAAGGGAACGCGAGAAACAGGCATTATATCTGCAATTCCTTCAAAATAGTGGTGCAGTACCTAAATAAAATCATTTTGGAATTCAAGTAAGTAAAACTACAGTTGCTAGTAGCAATTTTTAACAGCCCCAAATGGTACCGTTATGCTTATTTTAATCAGACAGAAGTGTACTTTACCACAAGTACGGATTAGTAAGACTGAAATGTTTGGTAGTAACTGAAAATATATGCTCTGCTTGCGGGGTGAAATCATCTTTGCCCTACCTCAGTTTCATCGAATTCAACACGATTACTTGTCTCACAGAGGTAAGTGAGATTTAGACCTTGAAGGATTAACAAAAATAATATTTTGGAGACAGGGAATTTGAATTATCACAATATTTACCACACAGTGTCACAATATTTCTATATATAAAAAGTTAATCTTAGATTTCATCAAATACTTTAAAAATCAAGTTAAAATCGTATTCACAACTATATAATCCCTCTGACAGCTTTTGGTTTTGCTGATATTTGTTCCTTCTAACATCTTTTTCTTAAAATCTTGCCCCTCTCCCCACCAATTTTAGTTGTAGTGTACACAGTACGGCCCCCGTTCACAGAAGATATCAAACAAGACACATTTTTCAGAGGAGCTGATTTTTTTCTACCAAGACATTGATTGGGAGAAAAACAAAACAAAGCAACCCTGTGTTTTGAGCAGCGCTGGCCAGTTTCTCCAACAGCACCTTCATCCACAATGCTCACACTTAACAGTTCAATGCTTAAAAACACACCACCACGTTAATCTAGCTACTGTCCTCCATTTTCATCTTGTTTTATGCATCTGACCTCCAGCATGCACAGTTTTGTAAACAAAGTCTTCCATCTAAACAAAAAATCCTCACAGACACTGAAATATTATTAGAGGAGAACAATAAAGCCACATTTGTCCACTTTCTGAAATTCTGCAGTGCGTGGATCTCATTATGCAGATACACGGCTGGATGAAGAGAATATAAATGTGAACAATTTTTGTTTTTTCATCACAGATCAATCAGTAGCTGGTTTGTAGTGCTGTCAGAAATGGCAAACAGTACATTATTCTCCAGCAGGTTGATCATTAGCAAAATTACCTTGCTATAAATGGTGCTCTTTTGTGAATGGAGGCCTGCATTTTCAACTTATTCCAATAAACCAAAGGCATTACGGTGATAACTAAATATTTTTGGTCTCTCTACAAATTGTCATTATTATGGCAGCACTTTTCTAAGCTGGAATTTCAAACCAAAGGCACTTTCATGCTAGAGTGCAGAAGAGTCACAATTAATTATTTGGTCATGAAATTTTAAAAGGCAGCATTATTAATACAATCCTCTTTTCACGGAGAACTATGAATCTGTAACCTTTCCTTTTGGTATAGACATTTAATCATGTAGCGATGGGACTGACTTGTACTGAGGGTTGGTTTAGACCAAGCAGTCAAGGAGCTTTTTCTGCGGGGAAAAATACAGTTTATTTAAAAATGGAACCAATTAATAAAACAATGTATCAAATTTATGTTAAGAGGCTAAAGGTATTTCTAATATAACGCTAAGGCACTGCATATTGTAATGCTTTGGCAGCTCTCAATTAAAAGATTCCTACAAAAAGTAACAGTAACAAGATAAATACTTCCAGCTTACAAAAGAGCTCACAGTTTACAGGCAGCCTGTTGGACTACACACCACACACTGAACAGTTGAAGGATTAAGGCTTTTAAGAATTAACACATACAGGGTATGGATCATTTACAGAAGTGTAAAGAAAAGATGAAGAAAGTCATTTCCCTAATATTACATACGTGAACACCAATAAACATTGTGACTTTTTATACCCTATAGTTATGACATACGTAGTGTGCCAGATTCTACTAAAAAACTGTACCTGGTTTTGCAAATTGCCTTCATACTTGATACGCCTCAAAGAGTTCGCTTGTTATTAAAACAAAAAATCACCAAAACCACAATTCAAACCCTAAATAAAAGACAACTTTAGAACAAAATAAAACAAAACAAAACAAAAGTAGTTTTTGACTTGTAACACCAAGTGCTTAGAATAAAGGGCTACCGTTAGGCTGTTACAATGCAGTGCTTTTCCTGATGTGATTGTTAGTGTTAAAAATGAGCGTCAGAGACCCTACCATGGACATATTTCACTGTTCTGTTCACAGAATATAAACTGAAAGATCATTAGCCCTAATATCCACAGCTAGACATCACAGCAATCATCCACCTACTGGAGTTAGGTCAGCGGCAAGCTGAGGGATGTGAGCAGTCTCCCTTCCTTTCAGATGTTTGTATCGTGTGTCCACAACAACCCACTGCTATGCCTGGGCAGCATTCTGGTCTAGATAAATTCAATTATTGGCAATTCTGAGAGAGTACAATGCAATTTTTTAAAAAACCAGAAATTGAGACTTTTTCAAAGACTATGGCACTGTTGCCAAGGAGTAAATTCTAGACATAAATCATGCATAGGCATGTAAAGGGCAGTGAGGAGGGAGCTGTTAAATGTTACCCTTCTTTGATTCAGAGCTGCAGAAGACCTTCCCAAGAACGCTCTTTGCCGATACCTCATGACTGACCTTTAAGGTGCCTTGTGCTTGGCCAAGCAGTCCTGAGCCTTTCAGACAAATGTTTTACACGAGGACCCACTGCTGGTCCAGCACCTGCTTAAACAACTGCTGCCTGGGCAGCTGAAGGACAGCGCTGGGTGTGCAGAAGAGAAGCAACTGAGGAACACTCTGGCTTAGGTAGGAATAATGAGAATACTTATCTCACATGTGCGTACCTCAGATAACCACTCACGCCCACATCCTTGTTTTGAATCTGCACAGTATTAAAATATCTCCAGCTGCACTTCACTTCCTGGAGTCTTCCCTGATACAGCAGAAGGATGAATACTACCACATCCAGATACAAAAAGGACAGCAGAACCCATGTGGCACATACGCGTTTGTTTCCTGTAAGATCTTTGCCAGTAGGAACTGGAGAGAGAACTGGAGAGAGCTGTTAGAGCACCGTGATGAAAAGGAAAAGAAGAAAACAATCTCCATTTTCCAAGCTTCCTTGTCTGATATTGCTTGTGATTTTCTAGCATCTCACAGATATTAAAGCTATTGATCCTTTCAGAAGTGTATGCATTCTTTTCTCAAACACTTCAGTGTTTTGCTTTCAGCTTACGAACTACTCAATGCTGTAGCAATGTCAGTTGTTTCCATTTATCTGCTAATTTCAGAGTTGCAAGGTTTTCACTCAACTAGAAAACATAGTTGTCCATATAAAATATAACTGCATACGCAAGACTACATATAATGTGAGTCTAAATCTTCAGTATTTACCTACTTATTGCAAAACGAGCCATCTTCTTTTCATTAAATTATCAATTTTTCATATTAGTACAATACAACTTTATAATCTTTTAAAATACACTAGATATGTTAAGGGTAAGGGATGATGTTTTCTTTCTCTGTAATACCTGTTTGAAAGTTTAATGGATTAGAAGATTAGTTTTAGCATTGAGAAAAAAAATACAAAATTTGCCTAATTTTAGGACCTGTCTGTTCCTTAACAGGTATTTCTTAAGGCTATATTTTTTCATTTGGTTTCAAACAGAAAAATGTTTCATTTTAAAAAATAATTTAGTGAATTATATTTGTCCATATCTTCCACCCTAATTAGTTACAAAGATAATTCTATAAAGGTAATTAACTTTTCTTATTCATTTACAGTTATAGCTAAAGATTCATTTCAATTTCACTTGCATTGTAAAACATGTATTTTGTGTTGGAAAAAAAACCAAAATATCTTATAAACGCTGTCAGTTTTTCCCCATGGCAAATGCTCTGTCATACATTTTTCTATCAGAATTAAAAATAGGCCTCCACAGACAGAGGCATTAGGTTCTTAAATACAGTCTTCCCAAAGAATGGTGGTTTACAAATTTGAAGAACACTTAGTTTTAGAAATAATTTTTACAACTGTACCAGAATTTCACAGCTACAATTATATATGAACACATTAAAAATGACTCACTAAAACAGGATTTAGAAAAATGTGGGTGAAAGTTGGGCCAGAGGCACTGCCACTTAGTGTTGAGGTTTACAGTCTGTGTTTTGATAAAGAAGTGAAATGAACTGTATATATAAATAACTGCTCAGTCCTTTACAAGCCTGTAGATATGATGCTGTGCTCCATGTTCACTGTTTGACACTTCAAATACACAAGCCATGCAGAGTAGGGTTTCTTGTGTATCCCTGTTCGTTACAACCTATTTGAGAGGAAGGAAGAGGTAGACAATACATTACAAACTTGAAAATGCCACAGCCAAAAGAAGAAACAATTGGTTAAATTTAGGCAATGTTTAAATGTCACTGTTTGAAATGTCTCCTCTCTCTTAAACTGACCTGTGCGACTGCACTCACACAGCAGAAGCTCCTGGCACAGGGTCATGGAGATTCGTCTCACCCTGGCTTCTTGACTGTGAGCCATTGGCTTGCTGTTTCTCAACCCACACCAACCTCAGTCCCAATTCAACAAGGAGAGTGCACCCTTGTCCCCTTGTGTTTGGTTACGAAAAGGCAGCTGAGCTGAGCACACTCCTCTCTCACATACTGCATGGCTCTGAGTTTGCTGCCTTGCCTCTTCTGCGCTGCTATCAGCCATCAGCCCTGCCTGAATCCTATGGTGGCAGCAGCACTGCATGGATCTAAATGCAATATGAATGCATTAAAAATGACTCTGCAAAGCCACACTGAAAAAGCAGGGTAGCTGGATGACACTAGCTTAAAGGCAAATACACAGACCATTCTTCATACTTTAGATCACCTGTTGGGTGTATCCTCACCATTACTGCATGCTTTCCTGGCCCAAGAACTAATGAACACCACTGACATTTGCAGTATTATAACTGCCATCTCAGTGAGAACACATTATGTGAATGGGATGGTTTCAAGTTACTGCCTCAGGCTCTCTACAAAATCCAAACAGAGACTTGAATTAAAAATAAGAGCAGTAAGCTAAATATCTGGAAAATAACAGAGATGTTTGTTCATGTTTTCAGCCAGCTTATCCTTCTCATCCTTGGCGTCTATAGTGCACTATTCCAAGGGTATTCTGAAGTCAATGAGATTTTTTGTTTAGTAAGCAACATGACGAAGGGATTCGGAAACTAGTTCTAAATGTTGCACGTTAAGCAAGCCATGCAATGCCTGAGAGTATTCTACAGATGAAAAACAAAGAGTGAATCCATACCAATAAAATCGTAAAATTTTCCAACACGCTGTTCATCATGTATTTCTCTGGTAGATGCTTCAGCTTGTGTATGAAGTTGATCATATATTCACACATTGGAGAGCGATTTATTCTGTACACAAATCGACCATTCTCAAACCTTGCATATTCAGTCTAAAAGAAAAGCGTTTAGAGTAAGTCACTTTAGATGGAGCAGAACCATGAATGCTACATTTGCGTTTTGTTTTTTTATTTGTTACTGTTATTCTTATTTACAGAAGAATGAGAAAGTGAGTTTAGCCACACAAACACCCACACTCCCACCTGTGCTATACAGTGCCTTGCTAAAAATTCAAAGACTAATTATTACAAGTTGCATCACAATTTGTTCTCCAACCTGTGAATTAAAAACTGGGAAGAAGATTTACACAAAGTAAACCCAAATCCATTAAAAATGAATTAAGTGGAAAAGTTATGATGAGATAGTTATGACTGATTTTACAGCAGTTTTTGAGACAAGCAGCTGCAAAGAGCAGAATTACGCTTACATATTTATGTATAAATATATACATGTAAACAGAGCTACATATTACTGCCTGATTTAATAGGCAACTTGTAAATTGTACAGAGATGCAAGGCTGCAGTCAGAAGAAAACCAGACTGATTGATATTGCAGTGGTTCA